TATGTTTTCACTAAAAATATATTTGAAAATATATTTATAGTGAAATTTATGTAATATAACAGTTATAATAGCATTTCACAAAACAATTTCTTTTAGTATTAAGTATTCAGTTTAAAACTTTTAAATATTTTATAAAAATTGTTTTATATTTAAAAAAAAATTCAAAGTTAAATTACTTGGATGGTATAATTAAAAATTTGAATAGTATCAAACTTTCATTTTTAATTGAATGGAAATCTGTGCGTGCGAGAATTAATTTAAAAAAAAAAAACATTAGATGGGAATTTGAATGTAAATTATTTGTGCTTCCATTTTAAAATGTTTTAATTTTTTTGAAAATTATTTCAATATGAAAATATCGTTATTTATAAAATTTCTTACTATCCAATTTCTAAAAACAAAAAGATAAAAATTTTGACCGTCCAAAAAAAACAGTTGACCATCAATTCCATGAGTTAGCCAGTCAAATTGACCGCTTGCCTTTAATTTCTTATTTTCCATGCTGCCAGTAGGAGTATATTTCAAATGGTTTTAAAATTCTAAATTACCATCCATGAGACTTTAACATGATTTTCACTCATTATAAACATTTTTGCATCACTTAAAGTCTGATTAAATTAAAATAGTCATTTTAATTTAATCAGATTTGTATTTTTTAACTTACTAATAAGAATATTTTTAAATTTAAATTTAATTTTTATTTTGTAATATTTTGTAAACTAACAGCCGGTCAACGGTCAGCAAACGCCCGAAATGACTAAAATTGCTATTTGACCTCTCAAAATCGAATTTTTGTCCTGTCTTGGTTGACCAGTTGAAAAAAAATGAGTTTTGAAAAACAAGGTTTGAAAAATAATCCAAATGTAATTTGAAAAATGATATAAAATTTCATAAAATCATTTGTATTTAGAAAATTTTTTAAATAGGTGCACAGGAGAGTTAACAATTTTATTGTTAATTGCTAATTAACATAAGCAGTTTTATGGAGTGTTTCATAAAATGATTGTCTTCTTAATAGTAAGCATTCAGTTTAAATAGCTGTGCGCGAGAGTTAACAGCGTTATTGTTAACTAATTAAAGTTAGCAGTTTTTAAAACAATTTTAATGAGGTATTAAATGTGCAATTTATTTTTCTTTTACGTTGTTAACTTTTAAGATTGAAACTTTTATTTTGTTATTATTTGAAATTATTACAAGTAACTAAGAACATTTTCTCTTCTAACCGTACTTTTTTTTTCAATTTATTTAATTTTCTCGTAGCTTTTCCCACCATTTATACAGTGCAATATATAAATTATTTTTATATAAATTTAAATCTATTAATCCGTGTTTGCATATTTTTTTTCTATTAATGAAGGAATCAGATGAAAATATATTTTTAGTAAAAACTTTGCTTTATGTAACATAAGTAACTGTTATAGTAGCGTTTCACAAAATGATTTCTTTTAGTATTAAGTATTAAGTTTTATTTAAATTTATAATTAAATTTAAGTTAAATTAAATTTTTTTATATTTTATAAAAACTGTTTTGATATTTAAAAAAAAAAAAGTTCAAAGTTAAATTATTTGGATGGAATCAAACTTCCTTTTTTGATTGAACAGAAATCTGTGCATGTGATTTATTTTAAACAACAGCTGTTAGTTATTTATTAGAATTAGTTATTTGCATTTCCATTTAAAAATGCCTTGATTTTATTTAAAATTATTTTAAAAAGTATAAAAATTAATTTTGAAGCATTATTTATTATTTTTGTATTTATAAAATTTAGTCATGAAGAACTATTACTAAGATAAAAATTTAAACAAAGAAAATTTTTTGTTTTGACCATCCAAAATAAATAGTTGACCATGTGCAAACAAAAACTTTAAATTATGATTACACCAATGCTAACCAATAACTTTAAATCAAATAAATCTTTAATTTCATAAAAAATGAAAGTTATAGTTAGAACCTGTTATAAAACAGGTTCTAACTATAACTTTCTGACCCGAGAAAATCCTTTGGTGGAATGATAGCCCACACTATGGGGATCACTTAGATATAAGTATCAAAATCAGATTACAATGTCCTGGTAAGCTATTTTCATTATGATAGCTTTATTTTGCTTTTTACAGTGTAAAAATCTCCAATTTACATCAATATAAACATGTTAAACAAAATGATATATTCTTGAATTTACACAAGTAACAAACATAAAGTATATTCACAAAAAATTTTCTTTTACATGGAGCAAACTCTAAAATAATTCATTCTTATATCTCTTTTTAAAATGACTTTTCACATGCAATATTTATTATTGAAGTTAACAAGACAACAATGCAACTTCTTACTGTATTCTAGATGATGATAGGGCCTTTTGTACCTTTGTCAATGTATCTAAAAGTTGTGATGCTTTGCTTTTAAGCATAAAGTGGCCATATCTATCATCAAATCTTTCACATGGAGAAATACTGCATGGACCTTGGGTGTTACAGACACATTTGTAATGTCAGATAAGACACTCTGAATGCTTTAACTATTTGTGGGTAGTTTAGATCAAGGTTGCATCCAAAACAGCCAGACACTATCGCATTGAATTTTTGAAAAGTATCAACGAATGGGATGGCTGCATAACATTAGTGTTTCTCAGCAGTTGATTGAATAATGTGAATGTTGTTTAGCAGCTTTCTGGACTCATTTCCTGCAAAATGTCCACCATTATAAAGTTGTTGATTAATGTGTAGTGCATCAGTCCAAAGAGTTGCTTGAGGAAAAATTTAAAGTAGTTAAGCAAATCGATAATTAAAAACTCCAATTAGGAGATGCAATTCCATGGGAGGAAGGAACTTCAAAACCATAGTGTCTTCAGGTAGTTTAAATATTGTAATCACCAGCTTTTCTGATATTGGAACCTGCTGTCTTAAAGAGTGATACATTTTTTTTCAGAGATGCAAAAGTGCTCAATTTCCCTTGATTTATGAGTTCCTTTGAACCAGATTCACGCTGGGTGCAGGGATGTGCACTTTAGTGTAATTGAAGCCCACAAATATAATTTGCAAGTTTTAGATCACAGGACAGGACAAATTCCTGGTCTTTCAAATTAATCAACTCAATAACTTGCAAAACATTAGTATAATTTTTTTGAATCTCTTCAGAAACAGCAACAATAAGTTGTCGTTTGACAGCAGTATCCTTAAAAACATTGCTTGTACATTTAAGTTTTGCTGGGGAATGCTAAGTTCGTAATTCAATAATTCCCAAGCTAACTTTCAGGAACTCACCTACTCTGTCAATTCCAACTTTTTACTTTTTTATGTGATTTTTTGACATACTTGTCATGGCTATAATTTCATTTTTTGACATACTTGTCATGGCTATAATTTTATTTCACTTCTCATGGCTATAATTTAATTTTTAAACTCATGGAAGTCCTTGCAATGTATGTCAGTCCTCACACATCTATTGTGATCTTGAATTGATGACCTTGTGAAATGATGTACAAGCTGTTTGTCGAATTCATAAAATTTTATGGTGTAATTTTTCTCAACAATCTGTTGTTAGGTTGACTGATTAATAGTAGCTGTTAGCCTCTTGATGTCATTGTTTGAAAGCCCTTGAACTTGAGCAAGGTCTTTTACACTTATTGACAAATTTAGAGGGAAATGTTATATAACTGATGATAAACCTATAATGAATGAATGCAAAATGTCAAAAGTTTAACCTGTCTTTAATTTGAACTATAAAAAACTAAATTTAAACCTTGTGTTACTGGAAGCATCTTTCCACCATAAGGCTGACTTAATCAAGCTGTTTCATGTAAAGAAAGAGCTTTATTTGAAACAACAAGAGCTGCAACTCTTTTTGATGCCAAAAGATCTTTTGTTGCAATAGCAACAAGATTATTTCTCAAAGTGCCTTTTGTGCAGTTGTTATGTTTTGTGTAGGCATTTTTTTTCTATTGTTGAAGGTGTTCTAGCTGCTGAGCTTTGTTCAAATTCAATTTTCATTTGACCATTTTTTCTCAGTTTTCCAATTGAACAGATCAAGCAGTCACAGTAAGTCTTGAGTTTCTGAACTACGTTTTACAGTCTCAAACATATACAATGATGGGAGTGCAATGTCCTTTCCACATTCCTTCTTTCTCAACAAAAGCGACAATTCCAAGTGGAATTTTGTCATCATGAAAGTCAATTTTCTCTTTCAGTACAATCTGAAATTTTTCTTTTAGATTTGATGTTAGCTCTTGTTGACATTTACTGAAACAAAGAAAACAAGCAGTTTTCCTGCATTCTTGTTGGTTTTTAGCAGTATTTAGCAAATTAGATGTGCACAGTTTAGCTCTCTTTGGTAAAGTAAAAACGGAGTGTTGTATCTCTAAGTTTGTCTTTAAGTTATATAATTTGATGACATCATAATAAACAACATAATACAATAATCAAGGCATGATAATTAGTGAGGCATGATAATAAGCAATATGATATCATAGCAACATATTTATATAATATTATATTATTTATTCTTTTTAAATTTTTTTAAAACTGATATGATATATAAGCTAGTTAATATTGCAGCAATATTCTAATGCAACAATAATATTTTGATTAGTTATATATTATATAAAATAATACAAAGCTCTTGAACGTAAAACAGTGCTCGATATTATGATAATATATATATATATATATATATATATATATATATATATATATATATATATATATATATATATATATATATATATATATATATATATATATATATATATGCATGTATATATTTGTGTGTGTGCGTGTGTGTGTGTGTGTGTGTATAAAATTTACTTTAAGTTTATTTAAAGTAAAATTTTTATAATTTTAGTTTTTTGTGTTGTTTTTAAAACAAAATAAAAAACACTTTACGCAAATTTACACCAAAAAAAAAAGAAAAAGAAAAGATCATTTATATACTATGTAAATAAAATAATATCTGAATATGAATGAATGGAATAAGTATAAAATTCTATAATACACCATGTTTTTAGGATTACACTCCAATCATTGAAAAAGATGGAAGAGTAAGGCATATTAAGGGTTTAAGCGAAGAAGTAAAAGATAATTCAATAGGTACTAATTTTTAAAAAGTCATATATTTTTGGAGGAATAAACATTTAAAAGACTTGAATTTAAAAGACTTGACTTGATGAACCTAAACCTAATGGGTAAAGATATTTACATCTGTCAACTACATTTGTCAAATATCATCTGGAAATTCAATGATCAGATGTTATTATACGTCAGTGTATTTACAGATGTTGTTGAACAGATGTAGGTATACCTCATTATATTTACAGATGTTGTTGGACAGAAAAAGTTTTGAATGTAAAGAAAACTAAATTAAGAGTTAAGAGTTAGGAGAGAGTTAAAAATTTGAAAAAAAAAAATGTATTTATCATTTATTTTTAAAAATAAGTGTATTTATATATGTAAATTTTACCTAAAAGCATTGATTTCCATAAAAAAAGGAAATGATTTGAAAAGTTAAAAAGTTGTTTTACACTTTTATTATTGTACTACATTTGTATTACACTTGAAAATTTGTAAGTTGTGTTATAAACTACAACTTTTCAAGTCTTCTGTTAACCATTTCCTTGCTCTTTTTGCATTTATATATATATATATATATATATATATATATATATATATATATATATATATATATATATATATATATATATATATATATATATATATATATATATATATATATATATATATATAATATGCCTAAAGCATCTCATCTGTTGCAGGCAACAACGCCAAACGCCAAAGAATGAGGAAGCTATAACAACTTCAGGACTGCATTTTTATTTTGCAGTTTTGTTAGATTATTAAGTTTAAATTTTTTTCAATGTATTTGTTCAAGCTATTTTTAAAAGAGTTAGTGCTTTGCTGCATAACAACATTATCTGGTAGTGAATTCCAAATCAAAGCAACTCTATTGTTAAAGAAATGATACTGTTGAGCACAGTTCCTTATGATTTCTCTGCAGTATTGTAAATGTTGGTCGGCTTGTGGAGAGACCTTCATAGGTTCTTTATGCCAGACTACTTTATTTTTAAAATTCTCTAGTTTGTATTTTTGAATTAGATCTCCCCATTGGCGTCTCTTTTCTAGTGATGAGCATTTAATTGCGGAACAGCAAATAGAGTAATTAAGGTTATGAAGATTGTGTGGTATCTTTGAAGCACATTTTTGAATTTTCTTTAAAATTTTTAAAATCTTTTTTTAAATCAGGTGACCATATTGACACAGCATACTCTAAATGTGGTTGCACATAAACTTTATAAAGTTTACTCTATTTCTAGATATAAATGTATTTTTTAGAATTCCAAGCATTCAATTAGCTTTATATGATGCTTTTATATATAAATATATATATACTTATTTTTTTTATTTTTTATTTTTGCATTCATTAACAATATTAAGAATTATAAGCAGATGCTAGATAGTAACCATAACCAAATAGCAATATAGAATAATTCCTCCTAATAAAAATAGTAATAAACTCTTTTTACTTTATATTAGTGCTAATGTTGAGATGTTATGTTTCTAATGTTTTTACAACCTTGATATACTTTGTAAATTGTTTTTTATAAATCTCCTAGGATATTATGCATGATTCATATGAAAGTAAATTTTTAAAAATAATAAAATTTTTTATTAATATAGTTGGTATAGAAGCCACATACATTTACATTGTTTTTTTTTTTTCTCTATTTCAAGTACATTTTTTAAAATAATATACTTTAGGATATTTTCCTGGTTGTTATGTATATATTCAAAATGGTCCACACAAAGATTTATCTGGAAAAGTGAGTTTTTTAATTTTATTTATACTTTCATAAAATTATTATTCATTAAACTGAAATCAATGTATTGTTATTAATATTTTCCAACTTAATTTTGCAGATAAGAATAACATTTTCCATCTATAATCTGAAGATATAAATAATATTTTTTGTCCATAATCTGGAGATATAAATAATTAGGAGATGAGAATATTTTATTTAAGCACAATCTTTAAGTTGAGTATTAAATGTACAATGTGTGTTATGTAATTACAACTATAAGTGTCTCATCACCCTATACTTTAAAATAAAGCTATTTTATTGGTACAATTATATTTTTATGTATGTGGCGTAAAGGTTATTTTAAAATTCATTTTATTTAAGATTTAAAAAAAAATTATTTTCTGAATGGAAAATTTTTAAATTGCTAATGGTAAGTTAATTTCCTTGATTTCTGATAGGTTAGTTAATTATTTATATTTCTGAGGGGTGAGTGCATTGGGTCTATTATTTATATTTCTGAGGGGTGAGTGCATTGGGTCTATTATTTATATTTCTGAGGGGTGAGTGCATTGGGTCTATTTTATTATATTTCTGAGGGGTGAGTGCATTGGGTCTATTTTATTATTTTTGAATTCTACTCTGATTAGATTTTTCTTAATGCAAAAATATTTTAACTTTTGACATTCTATTCAATTTTTAAATCACAATAATAATTGCAGTTATTATTGTAAATTACTTGCAGTAGTTATTGCAACCTTTACCTGCAGGGTAATCATACAGTTAAGCAGCCTAAAATATATTTTTTTTTGCTTTTAGCACTATCGTTAGTCAAAAGTAAAATTTAACTAAAAGCAAAGTAGATTTTTTTTCAAAATAAGTTTAATTTTTTTAAATTAATTTAAGATTAAAACTTTCATATTATGTAATTTTTGTGTATTTTTCTTCTATTTAGATTATTTAAGATACGCTTACCATACGAATAAAGTCATTAAACACTTATTTATTACTAGTGTTAGTTATTTAATTTAAAATTTTTAATTAAAATTACAGTTTTAACAACTTCTCTTAATGTAATAGAAAACTATTAACAGTTTTAACAACTTCTTTTAATGTAATAGAAAACTATTTACAAAATGAATTAAGAAAATTATTAACAGTTTTAAGAACTACTGAGACTATCCAACACAAATTTTTTTTTAATGAAAAAATTTAATATTTTTTATCTTATCTGAATTTTTTTCAAACTATTTTGTTATTTTATTGAAATTAATAAATGTTCTTATCAAGAACTGTTTGACATTTTGTTTCAAGTTTATAACAAGTGATGTGTATGCACTATTTAGATTATTTCAGTGGATGAGGATACAACTCGAATATCTGTACAGCTTAGAATAAGTCAGGAGGTTTGTATTTTTTTTCCATTGAAAAAAACTTTTAGATGTTTTTTCTTTAAAATATTTTGAAAGTTACATGTTTACTTTTATGCGATACATTGTTGGGTAAAAATGAATATATTTTACACAACAATATTACTAATTCTTATGAAAAATCGCCTTAAAATTTGGAAAATGCAATTAATTTAAAAGCCCAAAGTATAGCTAAAAAATAAACTTTGATAAGAGAATCAAATCAACTGCCTAAGCCTTCGTAACACTTAAAGACCATAAATGAGATTTTCTAAACAAACTTCCTTGTAGGTTATAGGTTCCCTCAAAAAGTAAGATTGGATATGTAGGCAAAATTAAAATGGACAAAATTAATAATATTCTAAGAAATAAATTAAATTTACAACAGTTGAAAAATACCACTGATGTTATAAATTGGTTCTCTATAATCCAAAAATATAAATGACTGTACATTATTCAATTTGACATTAATGATTTTTTGAGACATGAATATTTATTAAATACGTCTACTTAATAAATACTAAATACGTCTCTAGACGTATTTAGCGTTTTTGGTAAGGAAGGAGGTATGAACCTATTTTAATGCTCTTCGGCTGTGCTCTATGACAAAGTCTTCTTGGGGTACCTTAAACAAAAATTAAATATATATATATAATTTTGAAATTTGAAAAGTTAAGTATTTAATATATATTTATACTATACTTTTATTAATTTTTTTTTTAATTTAGGTGATTCAAATTAGCCAATACAATGCAGAACTTATAGACTTAGAAACATACAAACTTTCGTCAAGTAAAAAATATTTTTATATATTTACATAAAAAATTTATAATTTTAATTTTATTTTGAGCATTTATTTTTTTATTTAGCCTATCGGCATTATATTTATTTAGATAAATTATTCCAATTTATTTAGGTAAACTGTTGGAATTTATTTAGATAAATTATTCCAATTTATTTAGGTAAACTATTGAAGTTTGTTTAGATAAATTATTATAATTTATTTAGGTAAACTATTGGAATTTATTTAGATAAATGCTCAAACAAAACTACAAGCAAACCAAACAATAATATTAATCCTGTGAGGTAATTATTTTTTATTTATTTTTGTTATTGATGCCAACAACTTAATCAGTTGTTCAGTTCAGAATGATTTTGATTTTTGAATCTGTTGTTGATTTGCATACATTCTATTTTATTTGCATGTACTTGCATAAGTTTAATTTATTTGCATAGTTTGCAATTTTATTGGTTTACATAAATTGTATTTTATTTAGTATATTTTTTAAATTTTTAGCAGAGACAAAGAAACTGATGAGCCGTGTTGGTTAGTCCCTAATATCCGTGTACGCATAATCAGTCAGAAATATAAAAATGGCAAATTTTACAATAAAAAGGTTTCAAATTTCTTTGGAAAATGCTATGGTGAATAAATATATTTTTTTGGTTCACTGTAGAGTTTTTTTTTAATTATAGGTTAAAGTGCTTGATGTCATTAGTAAAAATGTATGCACTTGTAAGACAGATGACAAGACTCATTTAGAAGGTTTTGGGTTTCTCTTTTTTGTTTCATTTTTACCTTTTATTAGTATCTTTAGTTTTAATAATTGAATATAGAATGAGAAGCAATTAAAAATTTATTAAACTAAATTGTGATGCATAAGTAGATCTGTCTATTTTATTCTTTTACATATGTCTGGTAGTCTATTTTCAATTTTATATTTTCTAAGGCACTGTTCATGATAGGGCGATTTCAAGTAATTTAATTATTTTATTAGTTAAGTAATTGCTTAAACAATTCAAGTACTTAAGTAAATGCTAAAGGTAATGGATTGTGCTAAATATGTTGCCTGCTCTCTCAATAAAATTAGTACTTCTGTTTCATAAACTATTTTTGTTTATCTAGTTTTGTTATATAATTATTTATATATTTAAAAATAACTAAAATTGCAAAATAAAAAATGACTTAGCGGAACTTTCAAAGAAAAAATGATTTGAATATTAGAATACTAAATTCAACAAAGGATGAATATGTTGTTCTTAAACTTTCAAGGCAAAAAAAAGCAACAACAGGATTAATTTATCATTTTAGAAAAAGTAGAAAATATAAGAATAAAAAAGTTACAGAAGTATCTCGCTTTATCATCAGGATCAACTTTGAGTCTGAATTCTAGCCGTAATCCCAGGCATCAAATTCAGGCATCAATAATTGCCAGTTTTTCTGAAAAAGTATCTTCTGAACTTGTTTTGGTCTAAATAGTTTCTGTTGATTTTATTTCCCATTGAAAAGGCAAAAGCTTATATTTTTATTTAAATCCTAATAACCAAATTTTTGGAATGGTTACAGATTAAGCCAGTGTAATGAAAAAGAGCAGTAGATTGTCTCAGCAGTAGTTGATGTTCTTTATAAAAAAGCAAATGGTCTAGTATAACTTAAAGATTCTTGTTATGAAATTTAGAAGACATTAAAGAAGTTGATGATAGTGAAACTAATTATTTAACTTCTGTCAATTGGAAAACAGTTGAGCTCTATGAGTAAGAGTTAAATCTATTCAAAAAATTAAAATGATTATAAATTTTTTTTAAATTTCACCTCTAAGAAATGATCTTTAACACTGTTGTCTTTATGACACTGTTGTCTTTATGAGTTTGGGAAAGAGTTGGCTTTAATTTTGGATACAAAGACATGTTGGAATTCAATCTTTAAATAGATTTCTACTAATTGAACCAGCAGTTAGGAAAATATTAGAGTATTTTAATGCATTGGAAATGCTATCAACTGATAATGGGATTAAAACTACTAGATATTTAGGATATTGTCTAGAAATTATTGAAGTTGCTGCTAATCTTCTTTGTAAAAAAGATAAAAGATAAAAATATCTTTGTAAAAGATACTACAATATTTCCTTTTGAGTCTATGATGAAAAGAATTTCAGAAAGAAGAAATTTTGAAATTGCAGACCTTTTAAGATATTTAAAGACACTAAATCAGCATAAGCTAAGATATCTATTTTAGACTATCTAAAGAAAAAATAACTTCCAAGTATAGCAAGAGATATTTATTCACATCTTTTTTATGATCATAAAGATTCTATAGCATCTACAATTAAATGTGAAACCTCCAATGTTAAAATTAAAAAACCTTTACAAAAAGAAATAAAGGCTGAAGTACTTTACCATTTCCTGTCCCAAAACTCCAATTTAATAATGAATAAGGTTTCCTTAAATGGTTTGGGTTGCATTAAAAAATAAATAACTGTATTTGAAAGATCAAATGGTTTTCCGAAAATTCCAAAAATATTGTACTTTGCAATCTTAAAATTTTAAATCTTAGCCACCATTGTCAGTTGAGGCAGAAAGATGCTTAAGTGCTGTTGAACTTTTTTGTTTCTATGTTAAGAAAATCAACATATTGAAAAAATCCGATATAATGGTTGACACATGTTTTTTGTGTACTAACTTGAAATTTTAGTTTTGTTGCTTTTTGTTATACTTATATAGTACTATCACACAAAAATGTTTCATTGTTTGGAAATCAACTAAAATCTACTTAAGTAACTTATTTTTAAAAAAATTACTTTATTAAATTGCTAAATTAATTATTAGCAAAATGTAAAGTTATTTTTTTTATATATTAATAGTTTATATAATAGCTTTTAATTGAACTCTGTATTTCTTTTTGTGTGTGTTTATATATATATATATATATATATATATATATATATATATATATATATATATATATATATATATATATATATATATATATATTGCAAACAAAAAGAAATCTGCCTGCTGAATGAAAATTGTAGAGCGACAGACTATATTTACAAATGTATAATATCTTCCCCAAACATGCCCAGCAAAGTATACATTGGTTTATCAGAAGAAGTGTGGAAAAAAAGGTATGTAAACCACAAGTAATCATTTAAAAATAAGAAACTTTCAAATGCAACCACTCTCTCAAAAAATATACGGGAAACTAGGGAAAAACTGAAAGAAACACCAGAATTAACTTGGTCTATCCTATAAAAGCCCCCGCCTACAATAATACAACAAAAAAATGTTTACTTTGTTTATATGAAAAACTGATCATTTTACTTTATAAAAATGCTGAAGAGCTACTTAATAAAAAAACAGTTAATTTTCAAGTGTCGTCACGAAAATAAATTTCTATTAAGTAACCACAAACCTGAAGAATAGATACACGCAGTCGTAACAAAATTTTTTTTAGACTAGAAAATTATTAAAAAATTGATTTGTAAAAATAAAATATTAAGTATACATGTTATCATGGGCAAGAAAGATGTAATAAATATCTGACCAAAATTCAGAAATCCGGCAAAAATTATGCCAGATTTGCTAACATTTTGCCGGAGCCGGATTTGGGCCATATTTGTCAAAATGGCCGGATTTTGGTCGGAGCAGGAGCCGGAGCCGAAATTCGGTACAGCCCTAATATATATATATATTTATATATACATGTATATATATATATATATATATATATATATATATATATATATATATATATATATATATATATATATAGTGCTTTTTTTCTAGAAAAAAAGGTTGCAGAACTCTACCTTTTTTATATGTCAAAAACGAAGTAATAGACCTTTCCCACAAGTCGTCAAATGCGCAATGCATTGTAGTTGTTGTATTCATTTAAGTTTAAACAATCCAAATAAAGTTTTTTTTTAATTCATTATATATTATATATTTTTTTGAAAAAATTATATATTTTCTAGTGATGAGTTCTTTTAATGCTAATTTAGAAAACAAAATAGATACTAGCTGTTCTCTGAGCTGTTTTTTGTGAACTTAAACATGATGAACTTGTTGCTTTCAATGAAGAAAAATCTATAAACAACAGTATTTTAACTTGATCAAGAGATATTTATTTTAGCCAAATATAACTCACAATTTTATCAAGGATTATCTTCTTAAATAGACTATATCTGTAGATAATGGTAAAAGAAGAGCTGAAAAGCATCAAACTCTTGGCTATCGCTTAGTTAAAGAAAATTTTGTAAAAATATAAAAGCATCCATAAATTTGTTTATTACATATTGCAATATTACAGCGTCTGTGAAACAGAAACAATGCAAAGTTTTACACACTTCTGGCAGTCTACTGGTGAAGTACTTTATGGTAAATGCAATTGAAAAGCTGAAAGGGGGTTGTTGTAAGCATGCTGCTGCATCATTATAACAACTAGTTGACTAAACAGAGACAGATATTAAACTGGTCCCAGAAAGCAAAACACATATAGATGTTTTACAGATATGGCATGTTTCAGGTGAATCAACCAACTCTGAAGCAATTTTTTTTTAAACTTGAGTTTTGAAAAAATTAATGCTTATAAAGACAAAAATAATATTTGAAAAAATCCTTTAGTTTCAGGAACCAGTAAATATTGTTTTGCAATTTTTTATGCAGTTCTAAAAATGTTTGCTATTGCAGTTTTTTTTTGTGTTGAAGATTTTAAAATATTTTCTAAAGAGTCTCTTTTTTAGCTTCTTCTATTATCTTTAATGCAGCTCAAAGTCCCCATTTTTTATGACCAAATATTTTTTTTGAAAAACCAATAGATTCTAAAACATAGCGTTGTAATGTTTTCATATATGTTATCCTTATATGTTTTACTTGATTTTTACAACCCACATTTACATTTTCAATCTAAAGAATTTTTAATACATTTATTATATAATAATACGAGGGGAAAAGAAATGTTTATAAATATAAAAAAAAAGGTTTTAAAAGAAAAAAAAGCACTATATAAATATATATATATATAAATATATATATATATATATATATATATATATATATATATATATATATATATATATATATATATATATATATGTGTGTGTGTGTGTGTGTGTATATATCTTTAGATGTACATCAAAAGTATCTTGAAACTGTGATACCCAGAGAAAAAGATTCATATGTGATGATTGTTTTGGGAAAGTATAAAGGAAGGGTAAGTTTCCAATAACACCATGCATAAAGTTGAAAAGTATAATCTGTTGAGCATATATTCAATATATATATATATATATATATATATATATATATATATATATATATATATATATATATATATATATATATATATATATATATATATATATATATATATATATATATATATATATATATATGGTAGTGGTGTAGTAGTAGAATGCTCGCTTCATAAGTGAGAGGTTCCGAGTTCGATTCTCACCATGTCCTTGGTAGTACTGCACTAAACTTGTTTCTCTGCACAGCGGCCTTGTTTGTCAAGGTTCGTGTTTTGGAGTTATAGAGTTAAAAGAGGGTTATAACCACAAGTAGCCTCCTCATCTGTAGTGGCCTTCCCAACCTTGGGGAGGTGAATTTAAAAATTTACGCCTGTATTATCTGTAGCAGGCCTTGCAATAAAGCGTAGGGCAATGTGAATTTTACGTCGTCCAAAAGCGATTTTGCATGTAGCTAGGGCTATTTGTGTCGAGCAAAAAATTTTTTGTTTGAGTATATTTAAAGATATTTTTGAGCGGAATTTTAATGAAGTAACTTATGATTATTTTAACATTTAATAAAGTATTTTAAAAACCGCACACAGTTGATATAAAAGTTTGAATTACAAAAAAATTAAATATGCTTTTTATTTACAAGTAGAAAAAATTCAGATTAAAAAAAAAGTTTAAATCTTTTTAAGGTAACATTTTAATAAAATTATTCAGCAATAGCAAAGTTGTCAATAAAATTGAACAAAAATACTTGCTTTTAGTTTTAGATTTTTAACTTAAATAATTATTTTACGGGGGTTTGTTAGGTTTTAAAATTATTCCATAGACTTAAAAATATTTATTAACTGTTAGTCGTATTTAAAGTATTTAACAGTAATTTCGAGGAAACATTTTAAAAATTGGTAAGAGCAAATAAAAAAAATAGTCGTGCTTATGCGTCGCGCAGTTTTTATTCATCACAAGGCCTGCTGTAGATGTTGGTTTTCAATATTTTCTTACAAATTGTATTAAAACTATAATTAGATTTTTCCTAGGACTACTACACTCAGCAAGATTTCCTTAGTTCAACTTACAATTTGTATATATAAATTAATTCACAAAGTATTTACATTTTTTTTTTTTTTTTAATTAAAGGAATTATTAGGAATAAATAAATAAGCAAATAATATTTTAATAGAAAATAATTATTAATTTATTTCATGAGACAGCCGAAATTTCTTTAGTTCCATCAAAGGTAATCCTTTATAATTTTCGTTCTAGATAATAATTTTTTAGTTAGCTTAGTTTTTAATAATGTGTGCTACCTTTTACACTAATTAATTCGAAGATTCGGTTTTTCATACTTTTTATAAGATTTTCCAAACAAACGTTTGAAATATCGTTCCATGCTTGTTGGATAGATGTTTTAAGTTCTTGTATTGTATTATACTGTATTATATTGCAGGCTTGGTCGGGAAGCGGGAGCGATCGCTCTCGATTGCTAACCACGTAAATAATATTTAGTTACGAAAAGCTGGCCAGATTTTTTAGTCGTTTTGAGAACATTTTAAAAAGCAAAAAAAAAAGCGCAAAAGATTAATTGGACCGATGAGAAACAATTACAAAAAAAAAAAAAAATTAGGCAAATAAAATATCTTTAGACGCGAAAAAACTTAAAGCTAAATAAATTACGTTTAGAACAAATATTTTCGAAACATCACTCTTTTGTAATTTTTTTTATAAAATTAAGCGATTTTTTTATATAAAGTAACAACTTGCGATTGTTTAAAAAAGAAACAAATGCTCTTTATTTAGCAAAGTTCGCAAGTTTTAGTTTTATTTAAGCTAAAATATTTTATAAATAAAAAAGTTAATTTTTTCAATACCTATTTTATGTTTCGCATAGTTTGAAAAGTTTAACATATTTGAAGCAATTCTTCTTAGTAAGATAAACAAATGAAATAATTAAATCATTGAATTACTATAGAAATTAAATTAACAAGATAGAAATCAACTAAAAAGGTTAAAAATACTTTATGATGAGGAAGCGAAACTGCTTCACAATATCGCTGATGATGTTTAGCGAGTGGGCTTTTTAATTTTAACTAGTATTTAAAGCAGAAAAAAGTATAACGAGTTTCAAGGATGGCAACTTAAGCGAAAATAATTAGAGTTGGTAAACCAATATATAGAAACTTTTCTTTATATCTAATTATTTGCTATATATATATTTGTGTTCTGTCGTGACCTCTGGCGCGGTGCTTGTTCATCCGCAAGTTACTTTGAATACGTTGTTTGTGTTTAGTAACCAGAAACTTCTTATATGTTTGTTACATAATTAGTTTTATTAACTATAACCATTATAACTTCATTGAAAACGCAATTATTTTTGTAAGTCTTTGTTTAAATCATAAAAGTTGCTTTAAAAGATACATTACGATAGATACACAAAATTACATTTACATAAAGAATACATACTTTTTAAATAAAAAAATAAGAATATACTAATAAAATCTATAATTTATAATAAACTTTTGAAATTTTGACAATTTAATATATATTTAAAATATTTATTTTTGTAAACAAATAATATAAATTTTTAAAACAAGCAAACTAGAAATCTCAAAACGTAACAAATCGTGAATATGACAATTTCTAAAACATTTCAACAGGATACTCTAAAACTTTATTTTGCTAAATCAGCGTATTTTTTGAACTAATAGAATTAGTTTGTTCGTTAATTTAGCAGGTTTTTAGTGTTCGCGAATATTTTTTTTATTCTTTCGCACAAAGATGTTTTGAGAACATTCAAGTTTATTATGTTTCCATGTATGTCCGTAAAACAAAAATTTTTTGTTTCGTACATAAACTTAAATGTTCTCAAACGACTAAAAAACCTGGCCAGTTTTTCGCAACTAAATATAATTTCCGTGGTCAGTATTCGAGAGCAATCACTCCCGCTTCCCGACCAAGCCTGATATTGTATTATCAAGAATTTCCATATAGTTTGCACCAATATTCCCCATAAATTTTCAATAGGGTTCAAGTCAAGTGAACATGATGGCCAATCCAAAACATTTATATTTTTCTTCCTGAAACCACTTTTTTTATACTTTAGTTCTCAGTAGGTAAACCTTCACTAAACTCTTTTAAAACATCTTCTAAAAGATCTACGTAATTTCTTGCATTCATTTTTGTTGTAATAAAACATATTAGAATTTTGCTGTGGAAACAAAATGTGGCACACACCATAACTGTCCCTCCTTTGAAGTTACTGACTCATAGCTATGCTTTCTTTTTTTTCAAATCATGCCAATAATACTTATTATGCCAATAACCATCAAGCCTATCTAAGTTAAACTTTTTTTCGTCTGAAAAAATAACATTTTCCCATTCTGCATCCCATGTCATGTGGTCGTTTGCAAACTTAAATCTTGCACTTTTATGTTTTTTTTTGTCAATGGTGGTTTTTGTGATCATTCTTTTCCATAGGAATTGTTCTGATTTTGACAAAATTTGTTGGACACATCTTGTAGTCACAGGTAATTCAAGTTCAGTCCTTATTTATCTTGCTATTCGTATTCTGGATGATGGATTATTTCCGTCCTTCAAGCGATTTTTGTTGTAATTTTATCTAAGTTTATAAGATTATCACTGCTTGATGAGACCTTTTGATTTTCTTTGCAATTTGTCGATTGGACAAACCCATATTTTTAAACAACAATTTTTGCTTTTTCTTCCTCATTTAACACCTTTCCAGTGTTAAATGAGGAAGAAAAAATACACAAAACTTCCATATAAAACAAACAAATTAAAAAGTCTTACTCAAATTTCAATTAACTCTTATTAAGTGTTCAAAACAAACTAATGGAACTATGGAAATTTTGTCTGTATATATACCAATTTTAAAACATTCCACAAAATTTAGTTTCTATTGTTATAGAAACACATAAAATTGTCATAAACGCATTTGTTTGCAATAGATCTAATAAAGAAAATTTTTGTGGTTAATTTTATAAATGCGTTCCGCACAAAATCTGCAATAACTACATGGAAATTAGATATTTCTCTGAGTGTATATGAAAAGACCTGGAAAGTCAAGTTTCTAACTTTACTAGCAAAGGCCATTACTTCTCTCTAAAAAGTACTTTAATTTTTTTTTATCAAAAGTAATTTTTTTATTTTTTATAAATCTTTTACTTTCATTATGTCAAGCAAATGGCTGTATATGTAAGTTTTATGTTGGCATTTTCATTTCTGTGCATGATTTTTTATTTTTGTTTGTTTTTACAATTAGAAACTGCATATGCATGCTAATATGATAACTAAAAATATTTTTATATTTTAGGCTACCTGAATGTTTAAATATATATTTTCATTAATATTTTTATATTTTAGGCTACCTGAATGTTTAACTATATATATTCATTATTATTTTTATATTTTAGGCTACCTGAATGTTTAAATATATATTTTCATTATTATTTTTATATTTTAGACTACCTGAATGTTTAAATATATATTTTCATTATTATTGTGTGTTAATGTTATAATAGTTAAAAAATCATTTTCAAAACGCTAAAAATGATTGATGAATGCTATTTATTGTTAAAAATATATTAAATAACAGTTGCAGAAATATAATATTTCACTTAAAATACTTACAAGCAATTTATTTTCATAAAAATAACTACATGAAATTGACAAGTTGTGACTTCAGTATGTGACCATTCATGAACTGCATTTAAATGATTGCTGTGAATCTATGATACATAGTGCAGTCTCGTATCTCTTTGGAAATCTTTACTAACATCTAAAAAAATATTAAAAAGTATATATATACTGCTGAAACTTATATTTTCTGATCTAGTAACTAAAATTTGCGTTTTTCTGTTCCATGTATGATTCTGCTTCAAACTTATTTTATCCTTTGATAGCATTACTAATGTATACCATTCTTTGTTTACAAACTATTTGTATAGATTAGAATTAAATAAAAGTAAATTGGAGATCGCCAGTTTGATTTTTATGAAAATAATAGACAAAACATATATGAGTTTCTGTGCGTGATTTTTTTAAAATATTCATATGTGAAAAACATTGACTTAAAAATACAGAAGTGATTCAGCTGCCTGGTTACTATTCTTGGCCAGTACGTGCACCTAGTCACAGTATGTGCACCTTATCATAGTATCTACAACTAGTCAGTGCTTTATCAGTCTATACCTGATGATCAACATTTAAATTATTTTATTAAAAAGATAAAATAAATTAGTTTTCTGATTTCTATCCTGACAATGAATTACATAAAACATAAAAATATTATTAAATCTTGACAAGAAGTTTATATGCATTTTTATCTCAAAAGATCTCAAAGAGAGTTTTATGGCATTATGATTAATGTACCATTATGTATCCACTAGTTTTTTCTGCTTCTAATCATGGACTTATGGTTCCATTAAGTATTATATAGAATCCTAACAATGGCTTGGTATTCTACTTACAGTTTTTTGAAACTATTATTTTAGTTCATAATTATAATCTGCATATTAATGATAATATTAAAAAGGTAACAGTGATTCTTTTAGTGAATTCAAGTTAAATGATTTTATCAAGCAAAAAAAAAAAACTTATTATAAATTAGGAATAAGGATTTTATTAGAAGACAATTTAATTTCTTGAGCAACATAAGTTTTTCTTTAGCTAATTACTGCTTTTATTTGATACAGTTTATTTAATTAAATGCTTACTTGACAGCTTAATGAAAAGTTATCTCTTAAAAATAAATCAATTGGTTCATTTTCTGATGTCAAAAGTCTCTATCAATATAAAGTAACGTTTTGAAATCAAATTTAAAATGTTATATCTAAATCCTATGCTGCTGTTTATCATTCTAGACTTTAACGAATGTGCAACATGTTTTAAGAATATTTAATGAGAAAGTAGTAGCTGCCCTGAAACTAAAAAGAGCTCATTAAACATCTTCTTTTATTCAGCAGATTTTTAATTAGTGGAATATTGTTAATGTTTCTGCAAAAGGGCATGGTATTAGGATGTGAGACCACAACCAATTTATGTAAGATAAAAATTGTTTTGCTTTTTTAAAACAATTTAAATGTATGAAATACATTCAATACTGCCTGTGTTAGGGAGGGTTTCAGCAACCCTTAGAATTGTTAAAAAAAAATGTAAGAATGAACTACATTATGCCCTAGATAAACCTATACCTCATTAAAAAAGTTTTAAGGAAATATTCAACAGTTCTACATGAGTGTACTTATTAGCCTGTCACAGTTGGTTTTAAAAGATTTATAAACATTCTGTCTACAATGAATAGATTTTGTCTACAGTAAACGCATTCTGTCAACATCAAATACATTTTATGATTTTGATTTATTATCAAAAAGCCTCTTCAGGTGTTTGTCAAATGTTCTTTTGCATGAAATTTGTAAAAAAAAAAACAAGCAAAAAATCCAAGTATTTTACATTATTATAAAGACTTCTAGATGATAATTGTACATTTTTTTTATTGATAAGCTTTGTCAATGTTATTTATTTTTTTGTTAAAAGTTTTATTATATTAACTTTTTATAGTTTCAAAATAAGTTTTTACTTTTTTTTATTAACGCTGACTTATTTACTGTAAAATTATTTGAAGTAATTTTTACGAAATGTTGTTTTTGGTTAATTTTAATTGTATATGTATTTAGTGAGAAGTATTGTATGGCCATTGTTTGTAAAGTCAGAAAATGGACTTTGCAAGTTCTTAATTTATATAATAGTTTTTTATAAAATCACATTCAAGCTATTATTTCATATGGTTAAGGTTTTGAATAAATTTGTTCCAAACAACACTTTTATACTTGATCCTCAGCCAATTACAACACTTATATATTTGATTCTTAGCCAATTACTACACTTTTATACTTGATTCTTAGCCAATTATTACTCTTTTATACTTGATTCTTAGCCAATTACAACACTTTTATACTTGATCCTCAGCCAATTACAACACTTATACATTTGATTCTTAGCCAATTACTACACTTTTATACTTGATTCTTAGCAAATTATTACTCTTTTATACTTGATTCTTAGCCAATTACAACACTTTTATACTTGATCCTCAGCCAATTACAACACTTTTATACTTGATTCTCAGCCAATTACTACACTTTTATACTTGATTCTTAGCCAATGATATTAAATACCATTCAACAATTAAATCAATTTACATTCACAAATTACTTATTTAGAAGTGTCAAGTTCTTTATAAAAAATATATTTTTATAAAAATTGAACTATGACCAATAAGTTCTGTCAAGTGTTATAAGCTATTAATTTTAAAGCCTAATTTTTTTTTTTAATGGAGAAGTGAACAAAAAACTAAAATTATAATTGAAACGCAGCAATGTAATGTTTTCATATATGTTATACTTGATTTTGATTATAAAAATATGTTTTACTTGATTTTTGCAACCCACATATGCATTTTCAATTTAAAGAATTTTTGATACATTTATTATATAATAATACAAGGCAAAAAAAATGTTTATAAATATAAAAAAAAAGGTGATAATATGAGTTGTAAGATTTGACACAGTGTTGAAGTTGCTGAAATAATTCTATATTCTTCTAGTGATATTAGTAAAACTGAATCATGTGATTTTGATTCTGACATAATAAAAAGTTGGAGGTGTACTGCCGGATATCCGGCTGAACATACCGGATAATTTAAGTTACAAAGTTAAACAAAGGTAGCAATGCTATAAGGAATCCTTTAATGTGCAAACTCCAAACTTAAGTATGTTTATGCTTTTATAGAACGAGAATGTTTTGCATCAAAAAACCATGGTAATTAGATCCTGGGAACAAAAATAATCTAAAAAATTTATCTTGACCACTTCTCCCAAATGAGAGGGAAATCACTTAATAAATATTTCATTACAGTATCTTATACTTAAGTTAAATTCATCGCGGTTTTAAATTTCATCAATTAATGTTCGAAAGTTATAATAACGTATAATTTATTACCCTTTCATTTTGGAGAATCTAAAAACTTTACACGGTCGCTTTTTTTAGGATTTAAAATATGACCGAAATTGAATTTTAATATATAATGGAAATTGTAGAAAACATTTGTGTTTTTACATTGTACAACTTTGTTCTCTGTGGTTTAAAATACTTTTTGTTAAAAAACTCCATTATTTATTTATAATTATATAGTGAAATGCAAAACTATATTTAAACAGGTATTACCAAATCTGACCATTAATTATTTTTTATTTATAAAATTGATTTTCAATTTTAGCTTGCAAAGCTTCTTGAACGCAGCAGTAAAGACTGTAACGCAGTTGTTCAAATGACGTCAAATAAACACGTTATAAAAATATCTTATGATCATGTTTCTGAATATCTTGGAGAACTACCAGATGACGAATTTTTATAACTTTTTGAATACAGCTTGTTTTAAAAAAAAAGCAAGTGGTAAATATATCTCAGCACAGAAGGCTGTCTTTCTTTTCGATGACCCATAAAGTCAATATCTGCTGTGAAGTTTAATATTATTAATAAAAAAAAAAACAATCTTCTTTGAAGCAAAATTCAAGATGTTGCATATGCGCTGTTTTTTGAGAAGTCTGAGATCTAAATAATTTTATGTAAATGTTGTTTATATGAAGTGTATTTTGAAAAAATGGAAATTTGTGAAATATTAATTATCACTAACATTTTATCGTAAAAATATAATAAAAATAAAAGCAAACGGTTTTAGTGATTTTTTAAACAAATGAGTTTTTGGTTATTGTTTAACTCCGGAATAATTTTACTAAAAATTTAAAATTTAGTCAACTTAGCTAAAATTTTCAAAAGCTAAAAAACATTCATAATTGAACAGACATTTGATGTGTACTTTGAAATCCAAATCAATGACCAAAATTCCGGAAATCGGAAAATTTATAAATGAAGCATGCAAATAACTACATAATTTAACAGTAATAAAACAGAGTTTTGTTTGCTTATCAACCTCAGGCTAAAGTATTGGTTGTACATCAAAACCGGTTTTAAAAGTAATTCTGAAATGTGACTGCTAATCATCGAGGATGTTCTTTTTGCTCATCGCGTTAATCATCATTTATCTACCGATTACTCTTTATTAATGTTCCAAAAAAATAAATAAACGTTTTCTTTTTTTAACTCATGTCTATAATTGAAGATATTTGTTGATAACGATAAGGTGGGTGACTACATTATTGAAAAACAAAAGTGTTTTAATTCTTACATTATTATGAGTATTCCTAAAAAGTGAGTTGCGAAAAAAGTCAAATCACGTGACTATCATAGAATATATATTCTATACATATTCTTTTTATATATTCTTGCAATAGGTTTAATAGTATAAATTAGCCTAATTTTGCTCAACATTCAACTTGAATTTATTTTTGATGTGAACTATATTCATTAAGCATTTTTTTTTTTTTTTTCAACAGATAAAGTTTTTGTTTTTTATAATATGTAAAAAAAAAGTGGTGATTTTACAGGTGTGTGTGTGTGGAGTGGAGTGGGGGGTGTTTGGTGTCGGACAAATTTAGTCGACTAGTCTGTTATTTGACACCATTCAGTCGGTTAAACTTTCGTTTTGAGGACTTTTTTTTTTTTGTAGTTGTAGCTAGTCGGTACTTTTTGATTATTTAACTCCCCTCATTTTATTCGTAGAATCACCTCTGACGATGAATGCTGTGCGATAAATGCTTATGAAAAATACTATGATCGATTATTGAAACGATTCTAAATAGACGAGTTACCCGAAATACTTTTTTTTATTTATTATATTATTTGTTTGTTAAAACTTTATTTAAAAAATACCTTTAAAATAACTCAGTTGTGGTTAGTTGTAAAAATGTTAAAGCTAATAATTTAATTTAACTTTGAAATATTAAATTGTAGTTCTTTATTTTCTTTCTTAAACTTCTTCCATTCATGCTCGAGGTCAGCATGTATAAGAAGAGCACATATGAAATGAGAAAGATCAGATCATTAAAAGTTCAAAAAAATCAAAAACTTTTTTTTTTACGGACAAGATCCAAATCATTGCTTCACTAAATAAAAAAATAGCACATAGTCCATTATAAAAAAACCATGCTTACAAACCTGCTATCTAGTTCATTCAGAAGATGATTTGCAAAAAGCAATGTAATAGAAATTCTAAAATAACCTGCATTAACTCAAAAATTTAGAAGCACAAAAAATATCTCTCGATCAAAAGTTTGGAACATTTTTAAAATTTGTGTTATTTGTTTTTACATTTACGTTATGCCTAAACGTATCCGTTTACCAGCGTTTCTAAAATCCCAACTAAAGTATTCTTCACTTGTGTTGTACCAAATGTTGTGACAATTAGAAGGCGTTTGTGCAAACAATTTAATTTAAAAAGCCCAGTATAAAAAACAAAATAGCATTTTATTTGCGCAACTTTTTTTAAATAATTGTCTAGACCACGTGTATTTTGATTTCTTTTGTTATAAGTTTTTCTTTCAAAATATTAGATAAAATAATTTTTAACCTAATTAATAATGCACTTTTATTAATTTACTTTGTAAATATTAAAAAAAAAAATATTAACGCATTTTTTCTCTGATTTTCAAAAATGTATTTTTTGGTATTATTTGGTATTATCTTATTTCATTATTTATATTTCCATTATAACATCCAATATATATTATGGCAATAAAATCTTGCCTTTCTTGTTCTGTGGCTATGTATCATATATATGTATCAAGGTATAGTATGTTCAGCATGATAGAATACTTTGTCACAGGACCAAGCTTGTAAGCAGTTAGTTACGTGAGAATGGAATTGAGGTCCTTGACCCTGGCCTAGTAAATCACCGAATCTAAATCCTATTGAATATTGCTGAAATTATCTTAAAAAAACTAAAGACCATGACCTTCCGACGATCTGCTAGAGAAAATTGAATAGATGATTATCAACATACGGCTTCTGAATATATGGGAAAGCTTATTCACTCTATGAAAAAGCTTATTCACGCTATGTCGTTTAGCTAATTAAATTAATATTAAATTGATGAGCAAACATTTACTAACTTTTGGTTCTTTTTTTAATTGTTATGATTACTAAAATATTTTGATACAGTTTTATATATACATACATATATATATATATATATATATTTATATATATATATATATATATATATATATATATATATATATATATATATATATATATATATATATATATATATATATATATATATAATACTAGATCTAAAATACAATAGGTTAAAATTTTAGTCAATCGAAAATACAGTAGGTTGAAAATACAATCGATCAAAATCTCAGTTCTCAATATATATCAAGAGTTAGTAGTTCGTGTTTTAATTAGATGTAAGTATAAAAAATTAGAAGTTGTCTATTGAAGATCCAATTACAAATCCATATACAACTTAGAAAACTTAAGAAAATGGTAGCTCTTTGCGGCAAAGATGGTGACGTATATCCGACTGCGAGGAAGGTTAAAAATTGAATTAAATTTAAATCGATTAAATATGAAAATCTCTAAATTTGATTGAATAATAATCGTAAACAAGAACGTCATAATTCGGTCAAAGATAAAAAGAATATTATTCGGTTGAAAACAATTTTATTGCAGCTTAATCAAGTTAATTTAGTGCAGCCCCGGCTGCACTGAATTAACTTTGAATAAAGGTCGAATTGAAAGTGAAAAAAATGTTAAGAAAGAAAGCGGCCTTTTTGAATCAAATTACTTAAGACATTTTAGGAAACAACTTTTTATTTTATAAATTTTTATAAAAGGATTTTCGTAATAAAAAATTTGTCTTTTTTGTTTTATTTGCAGCATTTTTTATTGTGCACCGGGTACCATTATATTTAGAAAATTCCAAAATTTCAAAATCTCAAAGACCAAAGTTTTTAGGCCCAAACACTTAAAACCCGGCCAGGATATAATTTTTTTTTTGAATGAAACCAACTAATATAGTTATTACACAAAGTTTACAAATAATAAAAATATTTATCGTTAAATTTTTTTTTTTTTTGAAAAAGTATACCAAGTTTTAAACATCATAAACAATTAGCATAGCATTTATTTGTTCAAATACATTGGCTACATAAAAATGACGTGTGAGAAGACTTACACAGTGCGCAGGCATTATGACACTAATAATTGCACTGATTGCATAGTGACCATTTTAAAAGAGCACCTTGGGGTTTAACACAAAACGGGATGTCACATATATCTTCGTTACCAACGTTAGCGCACATGCGTTCTACAAGTCTAGCACGAATTTATCGACGGTATAATCCTAGAGCTGTCGGATCTACATTACTAATTTTTACATTGTTGGTAACTTTTTTTTTCACAAACTACTTCCTTTTAACTAATATGTAAAAGGAAGTAGTTAAAAATAAATAAATTCTAAAAACCAAAAAATGTACAGATTTTTAAATATCATTTAAAAATCTGTACATTTTTTGGTTTTTAGAAAAAAATTAACCAATAAAAAGGTAAAGGCCTTTACCTTACCATTCCTTAAGGAATGTCTTTTGCAAAAACAAAGACATTTAGTAAAATAAAGAAAAGTCGGCTTTAAGACTGGGCCGAGCATAACCGAAGAAAAGCAACGTATGTTCATTTCTATTTTCCTTAACATGATTCTGGTTATCAAACGTTTTATCTGTCGATATTTAGTTTAAAAAGTATGTTTACAATATTCTCACTATGAAAAATTATGACTTGTTGCACTATGATTTTTGATTTAAAGAGATTATATCTAATAACCTATTCACTTTTAATTTTCAAGTGAATTTAAACTTAAAAGATTATTAGTTCCAGTAAAACTAGAATCAAAAGTTACTATTTCACAAGTCCAATTTCACAAAAGTCAAAAAAGTTAAAAACGATTCGTTCCTAATCTAACTAAAAAATTAAAAAAAATTTCTTTTTCTTTTCAAATAAATAAGAGTAATTAAATCTCAGTTTTTTTAAATTAAATTTCTTTAAAAATTTTTTATCAGAAATGGATTCCTTCACTAAAATTTTTTTTCATGTTTCTATTCTTGTCTTCAGTTACGTCTTCTAGAATGTTTTTTTTTTTTTTCCCAATAATAACGTATTCTACCCCACCATTTATTGTGTAAAATCATTAATATTTTTTTCTCTTCAAATTTTTTATTTAATATGTTAATAAGAAAGACGTAATTTTTTTTTACAAAATTTGCAAAATGTTTAACACATTTAATAATTTCTGTAGCAAAAAAGTTTTAAATCTAAAAATTTAAATAAACATTCTGTCATAGATTAGTTTCAAAGAATCTCGTCTACTTTGGAAGGGGGGAAAAATTTCAAAGGAAACAAAAAAGATTTCTTTTTAGGAATCTTTTTGTATATATAAAAATATATAAAGATATTTACATTTTTAGTAAATGACTTACCGTTGGAGAATGGAAAGTAAAAATAAATAGAATTTTCCAAATCTTACTCACATGCACAAATAAAAAAAAAAACAAAAAACTAACAGGGAGTAAATACAAAATTTTTATTATCTAAAAGGAAGAGCCTTTAAATAAGAATTTTCCAAAAAAGCATTTCTTTACACTACTTTTGATATAGTATAATTTAAAGATTGAGAAAAAGATTATTTTATATATATATTAGTTTCATTTTGTCTTGAAACTGTTTACATTTATTTGCTTTTTAAAAAAAAAAAAATTTTGAAATAATATTTGCTTTTGAAAAAATAAATGAAAAGAGTAAATATTAGGAATAAATTTAGGACTAAATAATAATTTAAAGTCTTAAACGGGTAATCCGATTAAATACGGAGATAATAAAATGGAATTAACACAAGCAATCATTATATAATACGCAGCTACTTCCTAAGTGTAAAAAGATTTTGACGTACTTTGACGTTTACGACGGATAGATGACGTTTGTGACAGCATACATGACCAACACGCATAATAGTGAATACATAAATTCACCACAGACATTAACAACATACTTGACACAATACTTGTGACGCTACGAATACTAATGGATTATCTACATTTCTAACATGGTGTTGTTTTTTTAAAAGAATCGATCTATGATTTTATAAAAATTCAGCACAAGCTTTACAACATAGTGTCCGGTATACCGAACTGTCCAAACAATAGATTCGTTTCTCAGGATGAGTGCAGTACGGCGAAGCATCTTTACAACTTTCTAGTATCATAAATTTAAAAAAGTTTTTAGGTTTATATCCAGTTGTAACAAAAACTGATATAAATAACTTACAAACAAGATATCAAAAAACTATTAGTGTTACCTTCAACTTTTGGAGAAGGAAAAGAAATATCTTGGCATTTTTCAGTGTAAAAAAATATATCGTCTACCGCAATCTCGCCAACACTAGCTTCGATAATAAACTGAAAAATAATTGTCATTTATAAACAAATTAATATTTATTAATTTTTATTAACTTTTTATAAAATTTTATTAACTTTTTATAAGACTTTATTAACTTTTTTATAAACCTTTATTAACCTTTTATAAAACCTTTTATATTAGATTGATAAATTAAATTATTTATCATCAAATATATGTGATATCATTCAACTGATTTACTTACTTTAATTGGATCATGAGATGGCTCTATACTAACTTCGCCTCTTTTCCATTCATTTCCTTGCTGTCCTTCTTTTAAAAAAACTAACTTGCGATCATACTGAAATGTTACATAAACCTTTAAATAACCTACATTAGGCCCTGTCATGTAATACCATAATACAAAGCAACCGCCATTTTGCTGGATTGCAGGTGAAACTAAAACTGCTTTGTCAGTGGAATGACGCATATTGGAAAATTCAATGAATGCAAACAAGCCTAAAGTCAAAACAAGTAGAAGCATCAAAATAAAATCTGGTGATTGGATTCAATAATTTTGCTGTTCTTTAAATAAGTTAAAATAAAGAAAAAAAATTAATACCAAACAGGATGGCATAAGAAAATGCAAGGTCTAATATGGGCTAAAACTGACAGAACAAATTTTAATATTTTTGGTTAAAAACTGTAATACTGATAAGTTTTTTATACAATTTTAAAATAATTAAAAAAAAAAACTTATTAGTATGAGCTTCGTATGAACTTATTTGTATGGATTTAGTGTTATATTGATTTTTAGATTACCTTACTTACTCAGGTTCACCTTTTTTCCTGGTTCACTGAATAACAACAATTACAACAAAATAATAATAAGATCACTTTTATTTAAAGAAATTTTTAAAACCTGAATGCTTTTCATCAGCTTGATATCCCAAAAGACTCGCATTTGAAAATGGTGTTTTGTTACTTATGATCCAATCAAACTGATCGCTTTGCTCATTAAACCAATTACAAAAGTTTTGTTCATCAAAATCACAATGGAGATGTTCTAATATTTACAAGAAAACAATTTTAAACTGGGTTAAATTTAGTATTTTTTATTCAAATCTTTAAATAAAAAAAAGTTAAAAGAATTCAAAAATATTATAAAAGGTTTTTGAAAATTTCTAAATACTTTACCTGGAGCTCCACAAACTGATACTTGACAGCTTCTTTCAACTGTAACATTATTTATATTACAAAAATCTAAGTGAACTTCAATGTTGTTATTTGTACAAGAATAAAGCCTTTTCTGATAACCAAGACCACAAATAGCAGAACAAGCTTGCCAATCTCCATACTTTATGACAAAGCTACAAAAGTATTAACAAAGGTTACAAATGCTTATTTAACTTTTATTGATTTTAGAAACATAGCAAAAAAATTACTTGTCACATGGTCTTGTGTTACATTCCTCTACATCATTTGGTTTTTTCGCTTTGCAATGTTCATTTGTAACTTTTTTATTGGTTTGTTTATCAACACAATGCACTTCTTTTTGAATTACTCCTAAACCGCAGCTAACTGAACACAGACTAATGTTGTGTACCTGCCAAAGATATTCAGGACACATATGTTCATTACATGCAACAACTACTGGTGGAGAGGGCCCACTACAATAACTATTTGAAACTATAATTTTTGAGCGAATATTTACACAGTAAACTATTCTTGCTTTCAATCCTCCACCACAGGTTTTTGTGCACTGGCCTTCCACTTTTAATTCCCAAACAAATGAATCACATTCAAACTCATTACATGGTTTGACAGTCTCTGGTTGTAGTTGTTGAACACATTTTTCAGCGCTATGTGTGAGATTTGTAACCTCATCTGTACATGATACATTTCTTGTTTTTACTCCACCGCCACAAGTCACTGTACAAGAAGACCATTGGTCAGCTACCCATGAAAAGACAGATGGGCAAGCTCTAAGATTACACTTTTCTAAACTTAGTGGAGGTGGCAGCACACACAAACCGTTTGGGTAATAAGCAATGTGATCATTTTTTATACAGGAAACATTTCTTGTCCTGAAGCCCTCTCCACAAGTTTTTGAACAAACACTCCATTCATGTGTAAACCATTGATATCTAAAAAATTCATATTTTTTTATTTAATAACAAAAAATAAATAAGTAGAAAACTATTCAATATATTGATAAATAACAAACATATTTCTACTAATAGATATGTTTGAAATAGAAATGATATAACTTGTTTCTCTGTACAATGACCTTGTTTGTCAAGGTTTATGTTTCAGAGTTATAGAGAGTGGGACACAACTAAAGTAGCCGTCTTGACTGTAATGGTCTTCATAGCCTTGGAAAGGTGAATTAAAAAAAAAAGAATGTTTAAGTCTAATGCAAGCAAAGATTTTAATTTCTGATTAAGTTTTTACACACATGAAAATAGTCACTGGATTTCAAAACCCCAATTTGTTTCTGCTCATCATCAATAAAATTGATCAGTCAAAATTACAAATTGCTAATATGTTTGAAACATAATCATCTCTGCCTGAGTCTTTTTTAACTTTTAGTCACCAAAATCTAAGTCACTAACACCACCACTATCACCATCTCACCCACTGCCTTCTGAAACTACACCAACAACATCTAGCATCAGCTATATCATCAGCATACCCTCTATAGCATCAGCTCCAATGTCAACTCACTTTGCATATTTTGGATCTACTTAATGTGACACACGAATAAATTAGACACGCAAAATAGACATGCCAAGGATCGAAGACAAGTGTCATAATCAAAATGTAGCCGATCAATTTAGCAAGTGTGATAATCAAAATGTAGCCGATCGATTTAGCAAGTGTCATAATCAAAATGTAGCCGATCGATCAAGTGTAAATTTAAAATACTTTTGATTGAAAGATTGAAAAAATTATCTTTTAAAAAAATCTAAAAAAAGCTTTACTTCAATGATAAGCAGCAAACCATGCAAAAACTCCAAAAACAACAACAAACAACAACTCCAGCAACAACAACAAACCAAATTAAAGCAGCATGTTAAGACATCAAGTTTTATTCCACACAACAACTCAATTAAAAACAACCTCTATTACTTCTCAACAATGCAACATGCGAAACATACACTCAACAAACAACTCAACATGATGATAAAACATACCTCATAACTCTTAACAGCAACTCAACACGATTACAAGAATGGAAAAAAAAGTTATAATTGTTGTTATTGATTTTTTAGTTGTTAAAAAAAGGTTGTTTTTCCCTCACATTTGATGAGAATGAAAATCAATGGGTAAAAAAACAACTAAAAAAACCAAAACAGTAACAAAACAGAATAAAATAAGCTAAAAAATTTTGAATCTGGCCAAAAGAGGTCAAACTTATTACTGAAAAGGCCACTTAACTTATGCTACGCAGAAAACAAAGTAAATTTTTTTTTCAACTTTTAAGTCGAATTTCTACGAATCAGTGAAGTGATAGTAATTAAAATTTTCACAACATGTTGAGAATTCTATAAAAATTAAAAAAATAATTAAAAATTTATCACAAGTGATCAGTCACTACTTTGGCTAGGCCAGTCAATAACACAGACTTAATTAGATGTGAACCAATTTTTTCCAGTCTTTGAAGTGTGTTTGGGTCAGTATCTTGCTGAAACACCATCCTTGATGCATTTTTGCTTTAACATGTGGTAGCATATGATTTTTCATTAAATCGATAGAGTATTTGGCATCCATGATGCTTTCAATATGAGCAAATGGCTCTAGACAATCATAGGAAAAACATAACTCTGTGTTTTATGGTTGGTACAATGTACGAGGGGGTCTTCTCTTTTATTTAACACACTTAACACCATTAGATAAAAAAAAAATTAAATTTGCTTTCATCACTCCACAACACTTTAGTCCAACCTTGTTTAGTCTAGCTTAAATTCTCTTTATCGAATTTTACTTGAGCCATCTGATTCTTTTATGAAGTCATTGGTTTTTGACTAGGATGTCTTCCGAATTAATTATTGTCACATCAAGGTCTTTTTACTGTTGACTCAGATATTTCTACTTCAGAATATTTGTTGTATTTAAAAGTAATCTACAGCCCAGGGCAAGCATCATCTTTTGACATTTGACAAAGTTGATGATTGCCTCTTTTAGTAGTGTTTTTGGTTGATCGAATCTGGGTTTTGTTATTAAAGTTCCCCTCCAAGCTTCTTAGTGTTGATTAGTGTACAGCTTTTATCTTGATCCATGCACATAAAAACTGTTAGGATACTCCACATTGATGAGCTTTTGTGATTTAATGATAATTAACTGCATTTATTACAGAATAATGAAGATCTTCTTTGTGTTTTCCTATTTTTGAATGTTATTTTAATAATTTTCAATGAAGTTTGCTGAAGAAATTCCATTTAAATATATGAATTTATAAAAAAAAAATTCAATTAAGAGTAAAAATACTTTTGAAATAACGCTTTTAAAAAAAATGTTACATATTAAATGTAATTATTTGTTAAAAAAAAAGAAGTTCTACCAATTAAAACTATATTTGTATGGGTGTAAATTCCAGAAAGAATGGTTTACATATTTCCCATTAAGAAGAAGTTGCACAAAAAATGATAGTAAAAATAATTTTGACCGCTAATATATATATATATAATATATATATATATATATATATATATATATATATATATATATATATATATATATATATATATATATATATATATATATATAAATTAAAATAAAAACACTTTGAATGTTTTTATTTTAATTATTTTACTGTAAATCTTAAAGCCTACTACTACAAGGGAGTGTTGCTACATTGAATTTTTTCCGGAGAGTATATATATATATATATATATATATATATATATATATATATATATATATATATATATATATATATATATATATATATATATATATAGGTGGGTTTTAAAAACAATTTTTTTTGAAAATGTTTGCTGGCATCCCTATATGTGTTCTAACATTAAATGGGTTCCTAACATTATAAAAAAAAAGATTTTTTCAAAAATATGTTTTATATAATTTTGCTTTATTTGAGAACTTTTTTAAAAATAATTTTAGGAACCCATTTATTGTCCGAGGGTCCGTAGTAACCCCCTAAAAATATTTCTTATTCAAAAAATCTTCAAAGCCTATTAAATTTAGAGCAAGACAACAATTAACAGACAACTTAAAAGATTGGAAATTATATGAATCAGGAAAAAAAGATGAAGGAAACAAATTCCAAAGAACTGATGTTTAAAGAAAAAGACTTAAGAACAGCCACAATAAAAGAATGAGACTTAACTGAATGACAAGTAACACAAAAATGAATTTTAGTAAATGGCATTAAGAGATGCTAGTGCCCATTATTGTATTTATAGTAAAGAGAAAGAGAAGCAACATTATGACAATAAGAAAAATGTTGAAAGTTGGCTGCAAGAGCAGGTACAACTATGCTTACAATGTATTTTTGCATCTTGTCTAAAAGAGAAAGGACAACATTGGAAGATCTGCCTCAGATATGGCAACAGTATTCCATACAAGAACGAGTTTAAGATTTACAGAGATTAAGAAATAATCCTGAGCAAGAAAATGGCAAGCTAAAGAGATGCAACCTTAGAAGATGCTAATTTTGCAATTGGTTTAATATATTGTTTCCATGAAAGATCGAAAGAATTAATCCTAGAAGATGATTCATCAAGTACATTACCATTTATAAATGAAAGAAGATCTAAGTTATTGCAATAAAAATTAGCTAAACAAAATTGAGTTTTATCCAAGTTAAAGTTTACCAGCCATTGAGAACCCCACTCTGTATCACTAATACAGAGTGGGGCTCTCAGTGGCTGGTTTAATTTTGCAATTGGTTTAATATATTGTTTCATGGAAACAATATATTAAACCAATTGCAAAATTAGCATCTTCTAAGGTTGCATCTCTTTAGCTTGCCATTTTCTTGCTCAGGATTATTTCTTAATCTCTGTAAATCTTAAATTCGTTCTTGTATGGAATACTGTTGCCATATCTGAGGCAGATCTTCCAATGCTATAGTTTAGATTTTCCTTCATTTATGAATGGTAACGTACTCAATGAATCATCTACCCTTCATCTATCTTCATTTACCCTTTATCTACATTTACATTAACAAACTCCCAGAAATTCTTACATTTAAGGTGGCATTATTCGCTGAAATAACTACCATTTTTTCTTGTCTTGACACTTTACACAAACCCCTTCTTAAAACAAAAAAGAAAATCTTTTCTATCATTAACTATTTTAAATCTATTTACTAATCAAGACAATGATTTTCATATGTTTCATGAATAAAAACATTAAAATAAAACATTAAAAAAATTACTTATCACATGGTCTGGTATAACATTCCTCTACATCATTTGGTTTTTTTGCTATGCAATTTTCATTTATAACCTTTTTCTTGGTTTGTTTATCAACACAATACACTTCTTTTTGTATTACTCCTAAACCGCAGGTAACTGAACACAGACTATTGTTGTGAACCTGCCAAAAATATTCAGGACACATGTGTTCATTACATGGAACAACTCTTGGTGGAGAGGGACCACTACAGTAGCCATTTGGTACTATATTTTTTGAGCGAATATTTACACAGTAAACTATTCTTGCTTTTAATCCTCTTCCACAGGCTTTTGAGCATTGGCCCTCCAATCTTACCTCCCAAATAAATGCATCACAATCAAACTCATTACATGGTTCAACAGTCTCGAGTTGTGGTTGAACACATTTTTCAGCACTATGTGTGAGATTTGTAACCTCGTCTGTACATGATACATTTCTTGTTTTTACTCCACCACCACAAGTCACTGTACAAGAAGACCATTGATCAGCTACCCATGAAAAGACAGATGGGCAAGTTCTAAGATTACATTTCTCTAAATTAAATGGGGGTGGCAATATGCACATATCATTAGGATAATAAGCATTACGATCATTTTTTATGCAGGAAACATTTCTCGTTCTGAAGCCCTCCCCACAAGTTTTTGAACAAATGCTCCATTCATGTGTTAGCCATTGATAACTAAAAATTTTATATAATTTTTGATTAATAATAAAAACTTTTATTAAACAAAATAACTAAAATGCAAATAGCCATTTAAAAAAAAGATTTTTTTATATACATATTGCCTTCTTAATTAATTTTATTCTTCTTTTTATTTAAATATCTATTTAAAAGTTTACTTGCCGATCTGGGCAAGGGTCGCGATAGCATGTTTTAACATAAGTTTGTTTTTTCAAAAACTCGCAATAGCTCACATTAACTATTCTTCCACTTGAACTTCTGCAAGTTTGGATAGATTGTTGTTGACCTAAAAAAATTCACAAGTTCCATATTAACAAAATCGTATTTAACAGAAGTGCAAAATAATAATTTAATAAAGAAAATAACCTTATAATTGTAGTTTAAAAAATGAATTTATATTAACATTCCTGGTTGTATTTTGAAGTAAAAGTAAATGAATTTGCTGCAATTTAATAAAACACACACAGTTATATACACATTATTAAAAAAAATAATATCTTTCTTTATATTTTCCATATCATATATCATTATTTTATAACTTAATAAGAAAGCTTTAATAACTTAAGCTCTAACAACCTTTAATAATTTACCAAATAAATGCAACAAAAAAATAAACACCTATTCCACAAGTTTTTGAACATGCTGTCCAGCCTACAAGAATATATTCATAAGACTGAGCATCATTTGGTTGAAAGAATTCGTAATTTAACTTAATTTTGTCTTCTGACTGTTGAGCTGCAGTGTATACCTAAATTAAAAAAATAAATAAATAAATATAAAAAATATGAATAGAGAGTAATATATTAAATTAAAATCTTTTGTTTCATGGGTTTTTCTAATATATCAGCGGTGACTAATATGGCGAAATTCATATTTTGGCACATTACCAAATCTAATTAAAATATTTATGACGTTTTTACCAAGGAAGTACTTTATAGAATGTTAATAAATTATAATTAAAACACTTGCTTTTTTGCATTTGTTTTTAAAACATCCACATACAATATGTGTTTATTAAATAATATAATGTAAAAAGAACTTTTAACAATATGTTATTAAATAACATTGCAACAATGTTATTTGTTAAAGTCATGACTCTAGTGGTTCCCACTTCTGAAAGAAACCAAATGAGAAGTAAACTTATATGTATTTATTGACCAATGCTATAAAATAGATAAATCTATTCAGGGCTATCCCGAAGAGATCTTAAAGGAAGGGGGTGGGGGGGGGGGGGAGAGAGAAATAAAGTATGCAAACAAGTTCTATAGAAGTTTTTTTGTTGACTAAGATCTTAAAAAAAAGGAGGAACATTGGAAATCAAGAAAATGTGTTTTTGAAGTAATGTCAATATCTCAATTTTCTCATACGATCACATCTCGTGGCACTGATCACATCTTCTCATGGTATTGATCATATATTCTCATAGCACTGATCACATCTTCTCATGATACTGATCACATCTTCTCATAGCAGTGATCACATTTTCTCAAACTAAATTATTGAATAATTCAATTTTAAATAATAAAAGATAATGTTTTGTCTTCTGATTTATTCAATGTCTATCATGATGTACTCAATGTCTATAATAATTTATTCAATGTCTATTATGATATATATATATATATATATATATATATATATATATATATATATATATATATATATATATATATTAACACACTTTTATTGTGGAATTTTTAATTGTTGTAAAAATTCAAATTTCTCTTTTTTTAATTTTTATTCTTAAAATCTATATAAATAAGAAAATATAAAACATTTTTTATAAGCAGTAAAAACTTTTATAGATTCGTGTCAAATTTTTTATCAAACAAGTATTGTTAATAAATAAATGGATAGCTAGAGTGAAAACCCAAAGACAAGGCTTGCCAAAAATTTTTTTACGGCGCAATAAATAATGCTAGTTATATATATACATTCTTGTAACATTAGTGTTACAAACATATGCTTAGAACAAGTACAAAACCAAATTTTGTATTTAAAAACCAATTTTTTTAATGAATAAACTGGTAGCTCGTGCAAAAACTAAAAGCTCTTGTAAGAAACTGTTTAGAGGAGCATTAATAAAAAAATAAAAAAATTAATATTAGGCCTTCATAAAAAATTAAAGTGGTTTTTAAAGCATACTCTCTCATTTTGATTGAATGGTCTCAAAATATTTAAAAATAAAGTTTTGCGCACTTAGGATCACAAAAATCTGTGCCAAATTTTTTTTTGTACTAACACGTATCAATCCCAACCTTTCAAAATGCACAATATGTTACAAAAAATACCTTGGATCTTATTTTTACAAAAAACAATAAACGAGTCTATCAACTTGAGTCTAATCCAGTTCTAGGAAATATAAATCATGGACATTTGGTTTTAACTTGTAAATTTAACCTTGATGCTATTGCAATGGAAAATTATCCAAAGTATAAACTTGATTACAGTAAATGTAACTATCCACAAATAAGCCTAAATATTGATAAAATTGACTGGAATTATTTATTTGATGGGTTATCAGTTCATTTTACGTATGATCTGTTTATTGAAAAAATTAGTCAATCATGTAATGCTTTTATTCCAATAATTGACGTAAATTCAAGAAAGAAAAGAAAACATAATCCATGGTTTACTGATGAAGTAAGTCTTCTAGTATGTTCAAAATAAAATTTGCGTTATCCGAAACTGCTATATAAATATGTAAATAGTCAAAAAACGATTGAACAAGTAATTAAAGCATTAAGAGATCAAACTGGTTGCGTAACAAATGATCAAAATGAAATTGTTGAAATTTTAAATAAACAATTTCAAGATGTGTTTACCATCGAAAATTCTAGAGAAGAGCTTCCACAAATCGAGAATTTAGGGGATATTATTATTGATGCAGTTAATATAGATTATTTTAATGTTTTAAGTAGATTGAAACATGTTGAAATCAATAAAACATATGGAGTTGATTCTATACATCCGTTGATTTTGAAAAATTGTGCGGATTCCGTAGCATTGCCATTAACTTTAATTTTTATAGAATCTTTTGTTAAAAGTGAACTACCAACTCAATGGAGAGCAGCAAATATTACACCACTATTCAAAAAGGGAGATAAATTAGAAGCTGCAAATTATAGACCAGTGTCATTGACATCAATTACTTGTAAAATAATGGAAGGTATAGTCAGAGACTGCATACAATCATATTTAATGAAATATAAATTAATATCGAAGTCACAACATAGTTTTGTTAAAGGGAAGTCTTGTACAACAAACTTATTAGAGGCATTGGATTATATTTCATTTAATTTATCGATTCGTATTTCGGTAGATGAAGTACTTTTAGATTTTGTTAAAGCTTTTGATTCTGTTGCTCACAAAAGACTATTGATTAAACTATCTTCATATGGAATTAGTGGTTTATTATTAAAATGGATTGAAGCTTTTTAAAAAACAGAATCCAAAGAGTTGTCCAAGGTGATGTTGTTTCTTCATAGCGCAAAGTTTTCAGTGGTGTTCCGCAAGGATCCGTAATAGGGCCCTTATTATTTGTTATTTTTATTAATGATATATCAAACATATTTAAAAATAAGTCAGAATTGTATGGAGATGATACAAAAATTCTTTCAAAAGTGAATGAAATAAATGTGGAAAATAGCTTGCAAAAAGATCTGGATAGTGCAGAGAAATGGTCTAAAAAATGGCTCTTGGGTATTAATTCTAGTAAATGTGTTATAATGCATTATGGTATAAATAATCCGCGATTGAAATATACTTTAAATGGTGTTGAACTGAAAGATTCTGAATGCGAGAGAGATTTAGGTGTATATTCTTCAACAAACTTGAAATGGAAAAAACAAATTATATCAAGTACTTCTAAAGCAAATTCAATAATGGGTATGTTAAAGATGACATTTTCATAAATTGATGCAAAATTGGTTAAAACATTGTATAAGGTATTTATTAGACCTCTTATTGAGTTCGCAGTACCTGTTTGGTCACCTTATTCTAAAGGAGACATATCACTTTTGGAAAAAATTCAACACATGATGACTAGATTAGTTCCATCATTAAGGAAAATTAATTACTTAAGAGATTGGAAATATTAGATATATCTACATTGAAAACAAGAGGGGAACGTGGGGATTTAATACAAGTGTTTAAATTACTTAAGAGATTTGAGGAAATTGATTTAATTAATGAACCGAAGCTAAAATTGATTCAATTACTTGAGGTCACAATCTTAAATATGAAAAGAACTATTTAACTATTTAACTATGAAAGAGAACTATTGTGAACTATTTACCTCGGCATCATTTTTTATTAAATCGTACGGCCAATTTATGGAACACTTTACCGGAAACTGTTGTTACTTCAAAAACTGTCAATCAATTTAAGAATAGATTAGATGAGTATAACGCCAAACCAAAGAAGTTTTAACTAAACATTTAGTTAAAACTTCTTTGATTTGGCGCATTTAGTTAAAACTTCTTTGATTAATGGTGCATGTGTGATTATGAACGAAAACTGGATAAAGATATACTTATTTTTTTGCTTGCCATCATCATGTTTACAAACTAGTATTAAAAAGTGTGTTTGAAGCAAAAATCACCCAAGTAACTACAAGCCTAGACATTCCATTGTTTAAAATGTTTCGAGAAAACTGGCAAAATGTAGATGCCAAAGAAATACAAATCTGTACAGAAAAGCTATCTTGTTTAAATGTTTCAGAAATTGATAAACTGCTAGAATTCTCATGATTTGAATTGACTAAAGAAATAGCTAAGGATGGCTATTGTAAATTAATTAAACTTTCAATAATATTTCTTGGCGGAGATACAGAGAAGAAATTAAAGATTCGGCCTCTAGGTGCTATTTATTTGTTAAAAATATTATTACTAAGCTCTCAATTCAGAATTTCAAATGTAAAGCAGCTCTATTGGATGTCTTTCTGTTTATCGTAACATCGTAACTTCTAATTTTGGCTACAATGCATTTTAGAAGTAAAAGTATCAGAACTTAAACTTTTTGAAGTCCATGAAAGCTGAAAGTGAAAGTGAAAGCTTACAAAATAATAGACAAAAACATTTGCGAAAGCTGCTTTACAGAAGTTTTGCCAGCATTTATGTTATTTGACAGATGAAGTGTCTGTTTTGTCTTTTTTGACAATGATGTTGATCAAGAAACTAAAGTAAAAATGGTTGCTAACTTAGCTAAAGAAAACCCATCTGCTTATGATAAACATTACATTGCGTCTAAAGAAGAACTTTGAGGTCCACTTTTTAGTATGTCTTATATGTAAATTATGCTATATGATTTTCTTCTATAGTTTACAATACGATTGACAACAGTTCTTTCTATTTTAATTTCAGAGAAAAACATTGATGACTTTGTTTCTGTCAAAAGCGAGTTCCTACTTAATTGACTCAAAATTGATGACATTTTTTTGAAGAGCTCGTCTTTATGGTCAAATTATGATTCTTTCCAACAAGCTAAAAGGAAGCTATTGACACTGAGAGCAGTTAATGATATGACAGAAAGAGCAGCTAAATTAATGCAAAACTTGGTTTAATCACTGATGAAGAGGAGCAAAAGCAATTTTTATTATGTTGCATATAAGAACACAGAAAAGTATATCCTGATTGTAAAAAACAAACTTTGAAAAAAAATTTAATGAATGTGTCTTTTACTATAAATACATAATAAAAATTATAACTGTGTTTTATTAACTAAATATAAATAATGAACGCTACAACG